AATCGGAGCGGACGTGTGCAGCGGATCAACGAGTTGAACGCTTCCTACTTGGCTCTCCATTATCCTATTCTTTTTCCATACAGCGAGGATGGTTATAGGGAGGACATTCCGTTCTCCTGCCTAAAACCGATCACGAAGAGGTCAAGGAAATTTATCAGCCCTAATGAGTTCTTCAAATATCGAATGCACGATCGGGACGGCGAATTGTCGTCAATTCTTTCTGCTTGGAGGTTGTTTCAGCAGTTTGTTGAGGACGCTTATACAATGGTAGAGGGATTTCGGCTCAGATACATCCGTTTTAATCAGAAGAACATGAGAACCGAATTGTACAGCAAACTATCCGACGCTGTGTTGCACGGTGACACAGATCCTGGTTCTCAAGGCAAACGAATTATAATTCCTTCATCCTTTACGGGTGGCCCGAGATATATGATTCAGAACTATCAGGATGCGATGGCCATTTGTCATTGGACCGGTTATCCTGACATTTTCATAACCTTCACTTGTAATCCGAAGTGGCCCGAAATCAGTCGTTTTCTTGCTGAGAAGAACCTCAACCCCAGGATCGTCCTGATATAATTTGTCGGGTTTTTAAGACCAAGTTGGATGCATTGATGAGGGGTGTTCGACATAACAAGATGTTTGGAGAGGTGAATGCAGGTACTTTTCAAACTATTTTTAAGTGATTTATTTATATTTTTTATTTTTATTATATGTTTTGCATTGTATTATTTTTTACCTAAGTATGAATCTACTGTAGCAATCTACATGATTGAATTCTAGAAACATGGCCTTCCACATGCGCATATCTTGCTTTTCCTTGCCAAGGAATACAAGATACAAACTACTGATGTCATAGATAAAATAATTTCTGCGGAAATACCGGATGAGGCCACAGATCATTTTACTATGCTGCTGTTAGAGATCATATGATGCACGGCCCCTGTGGAAGTGTTCGCCCGAAATCTCCGTGTATGGCGAACGATTGTAGCACAAAACATTTTTCTAAAACGTTCTCCGAAACCACGACTCTCGATGAAGAAGGCTATCCACGATACAGACGCCGTGATAATGGCAGGACCATAGAAAAGAATGGCATTCCCTTGGATAAAAGATACGTTGTGCCTCATAACAGAAAATTTCTCATGAAGTACGACACGCACATAAATATGAAGTGGTGCAACCAGTCGAGGTCGATCAAATATTTGTTCAAGTACGTGAACAAGGGGAACGATCGTGTTACTGCCACCTTCCATGCGTCCAATGGAGATGAGTCCTCAAGCAGGCCAGTTGACGAGGTGAAGATGTACTATGATAGTCGATACGTTTCATCTTGTGAGGCTGCGTGGCGGTTGTTCAATTATGAGATTCAATACAAGCACCCATCAGTGGAGCGCTTGAATTTCCACCTCGAGAACGAGCATCCGTGCTACTATGACGATGAAGTTCCGATCGATGAAGTGGTTAACAAAAATAAAAATGCCGGCAGCAAATTCTTAGCTTGGATTGAAGCTAACAAGAAGTATCCCAAAGCTAGAAAACTGACGTACGTTGAGGCTCCCACCAAATTTACGCGGCACTCGGAAACCAACAGTTGAGAGCTTAGGAAAGGAAGTGACCGAATCGCGCGTTTGTACTTCGTCCCCCCTGGTGCTGGTGACATATATTACTTGAGGTGTCTTCTCAACGTTGTTCGAGGTGCAACGTGCCATCGTGACTATATGAAGTTGGACGGAGTACAACACAATTTTTATCGTGATGCGTGTTATACCCTCGGTCTGGTTGAGGACGACAAAGAGTACATTGAAGGGATTATCGAGGCAAGCCAGTGGTCGAGTGCCATATCGTTGAGAAACCTTTTTGCTACTTTGTTGTCTTCTGATACTCTCGGTAGACCAGAGTTCGTGTGGGAATCATGCTGGCCTTACCTATTGGATGACATATTATATAATCGTCGGAGGGTTTTACAGCACCCAGGTAAATGAATCAATTACGGTCACATACTTATGTTTTTTTTTCTTTTTCTCTTATGTCTTTATATTTATAAACTTTATATATTGTTGTTACAGAATTGGTTTTGAGCGATGATGAAGTAAAGAATCTGGCATTGGCGGAGGTTGAAAAAATTTTGCGCAGACGTGGTGCGAGTCTACGCGAATACGGTACAATGTCTATTCCTAATCTCGATCGTAATGAGGCATCCACGAACAGACTGGTGATGGACGAGTTGAATTACGATCGTCGTGCACTCGCTACTGAGAATTAGAAGTTGGTTGCCAATATGACTGATGAGCAGCGCAATGTTTATGACTCGATAATGGACTCTATTTACCGTACCTACGGCCGCATGTTTTTCGTTTATGGTTACGGCGGCACCGGAAAAACGTATGTCTGGAGGGCGTTGTCTTCTGCTTTGAGATCCAAAGGTGAAATTGTGTTGAACGTTGCATCGAGCGGTATTGCATCACTTTTGCTTCCCGGCGGACGCACTGCTCATTCACGATTCAAAATCCCACTAAACCCAATGGAAGGTTCTACATGTGATATTAGCCAGCAGAGTCCTTTGGCCGAACTGATCATACGATGTTGGTTGATCATTTGGGATGAAGCCCCGATGATGAACAAATATTGCTTCCAGGCGGTTGACAACACCTTGCGAGCCTTAATGGAAGCAGTTGATCCATCGAGGAAAAATCTCCCATTTGGCGACAAGTGTGTTGTGTTAGGTGGGGATTTCAGACAGATACTCCCCGTTGTCCCTAAAGGCAGTCGAAGCGACATAGTTAATGTGACCATCATTTCATCCAAGTTGTGGCGCGATTGCATCGTTCTGAGACTTACTCGCAATATGAGGCTTCGAAGCCTTGGTGGCGGCGATGAGTACGATGAATTGAGGAACTTCTCTGAGTGGCTTGCAAACATCGGCGACGGTACAGTCGGTGAATCGAACGACGGTTGTGCCGATATCGACATCCCCGATGATTTTCTTCTACACTCACAAGGGGATCCTATTGGTACTATTGTTGAGAGTATCTACCCCATGTTCAGGAGTGCAGGTGACAATCTTAGCTATCTGAAGGACAGAGCCATACTCGCTCCCACACTTGATGTGGTTGAGTCCATTAACGAGTACATGAGCTCACTGAACTCATCCGAGGGAAGGACTTACTTGAGTTCAGACACCCCGTGCAAGTCAGATGCTGGATATGATTCTCTTCAGGATCTTTACACTCTTGAGTTTCTCAATGGGATCAAGTGCTCTGGCCTTCCGAATCATAAACTGCACCTCAAGGTCGGCACTCCAGTGATGCTTCTCAGAAACATTGATCACTCCATGGGGTTGTGCAACGGTACTGTTCATCAAAATTCAATTTGTCATCTACATTTCCTTTTACGTTTGTACATTTTTGAGTGATATGATTTTGTTTTCCGAGTTTTGATGTCAACAGGTACACGGTTGGTTATCACTAAGCTCAGCAGCCATGTCCTCGAATGCAGGATTTTAACCGGTGCCAGAGCTGGTGACAAGGTTCTTATTCCTAGGCTCACAATCATACCATCCGATTTGAGGGTACCGTTCAAATTTCAGCGCAGACAATTTCCGCTCATGGTCTCATATGCTATGACTATCAACAAGAGTCAAGTCCAATCACTGTCCCACGTTGGATTACTATTGAAGAACCCTGTATTCAGTCATGGACAGTTGTATGTGGCACTATCTAGAGTTACGAATCAGAGGGGTCTGAAGATAATGATTTGTGGTGATGGAGATTTTGACGATAGAAAAACCACGAACGTTGTATATAAAGAAGTGTTTAATAATATTTAGATTTAGATTTTATTGGTTAACTTTTTTCTCAACGATCATGTTATGAATTTTACAATTATTTTTTTTTTTCTTCTATCGTATATTTTTCCGTGCATGTGCACGGGTCAAAAGCTAGTTATATTAATCATCGTAAACTAGCTTTAAAAATTGAATAAAGGTAATTAATACAATGGTCAAAATTACATGTGACACCTACAACTAAAAAAAATGACATTAAATATTATTTTATATGAATAACTTACATTAATGACTTTAAAATTTAAAATCATTATACAATCACCCACCTTCCTTAAATAAATGAGTGAGGAAAACTTTAAAAGAGAGAAGAATTGACACATTTATATTATATATTAATTTTTTCTATTTATCCATTTTCATTAGAAACTCATTGTTTTTCATCTATTTTACATTGAAACCTCGATATGTCGTTCCAATCTTTTTATATTACAAACGAATGGTGTTAGTTTATTAAATTTACTATTTATATTGTTCTTTTTAATTTTATTCTGTAAATAACATGATTAATAATCTAACTAATATAGTCAAAAAATAAAAAATAAAATAAAATAACTACCATGTGCAGGACTTTACCAATTAACAAAAAAGTGAATGAGATTATAATTATGTGCATGAGCCTTCAACATAGCATGTACAACTATCCAGAGGTCGTGTACAAAGAGCTGACCCTCCTTCAAACATATGGGATATATGAGATGAAATAACAGCTCAAACTTTAAACCAAGTGTATAAACAGCACGTGTTCATTTTTTATTTTTATTTATTTATTTTTTTTCCTGAAACGATAGATAATTCATAATTAACACAAATAACGTTTACAATCAACGTTCATACAAGCAACTGTAAAACAAATCCGGAGAACCAATTGAAAGTGGCCTAGAACANGCAGTTAAGAACAACTGAGGCCCTTACCCTGTTAGAACACAATAACAAAGGTACAGAAAAGATTAGAACAAAGATGACAAAAGCTACAAGCTAAGAAAGTTTAAGCTCGATCCCACTTGAGTCCATGTAAACCATCCAGTCCTGAACAGCTGCATGTACTATTAAGTGTTCAGGCCTTCTGACTTTTTCAAAGACCCACAAGTTCCTACATTTCCATAATCACCAGAGGCTGTATGTAGATAACTGAAGCCTTGCCTCTGATGTATCACTTTTATCTAACTGACAGACTTGCCACCACCAAGTTTTGAAAGATTCATGTTGTTGTGGGCCAACTCAGTCAACTGGGGCAAGTTTCTACACCTGTTTGGCTTGGTTGGAGTGAAAGAGTACATGCGCAATTGATTCTTCATCCTCACCACACATAGCACAGATCACATCGAGTTCAACTCCTCTAAATCTCAAATTGAGGCTAGCAGGTAATGCACTTTTCTAGATAAAATGCTTTACCTTCCCCATTACCTTAAGTTTCCCGCTTAATTTCCCAAGCTCTGGCATTGCTTCCTTGTGGTTGATCCAGAAGAAGAAATTTTTCTGTAATGAGGTGAGCATAAGTGGACTTAATTGAGAAAATGCCTTTCTTGTTTAGGTTCCAGGTCCACCTGTTAGGGTAATTGGGATTGAGAGTAGCTATGCTGAGTAATGAATCACAGATATCAGGTGGAAAGGTGTTTCTCACTTTGTTCATATTGGGACAACTACCATGTTTATATTTTCAGTCACCCCATTTTGTCCTTACAAAAAGCAAAAGACCAAAAGTATCCAAAATTAAAAGGAAGAAATATGGACAAAAACAAAATAAACAGAATGGTAAAAAAGGGGCTACAAATTTCTCATGCACAATTTTCTATTCAGCCCATCATCCATATTCACAAGTTGTACAGCATTCCATGTCCACCTCTCGCCATCCAGTCTCATGCAACCCCAGACGACAGACAAATCACTACCAAATTTACACTTTCCACTAAACATCAGACAAAAGAACTCTTCATTATTTACTCCACCTGCTCCCTTATCAAGTCCAAACCCACAAGCAAGAACGCCACCCCTTGAAACAGCAGGAAGTAAAAATGTATCCTCTGAGAAGACAAGAGGCTTCTAGCCGAGGCCGCCAGCAGAAGAAAGCATATGACCCATGAAGAGAGCTTGGCCTTCGGTATGAACATGCTCATCGGGAGAATGACGCAGAAGAGTGTGAAGGAGTAGAAGGGAAGTATGAACTTCCTCAGCAAGAAGAAGAGGAATATCATGTTGAATTTCTTCCACAAGCTTATCTGTGTTAGAATGAGAATTTAGTTAACTTGTCTCAGTGATGTGTTTTCTCAATTTATATCATACCTTTGGTTGAAAAATGGTCGGCAGACAGAGTCGGAACAGCTGCATAGGCCCCGAATGCCATCGGTGTTGTTGCTTCCGGTAAGCCTCGTAAGACTCGGGCAATTCGCATTGACACTTGAATATATATTTGGATTGAAAATGATTAACAATATTAACAAAAAAAACGAGTCTTGTTGTTGCAGTTTAAATATATACATACCTCAACATCGAGAAAGATGAATTTCCATCCGTGGAGGTGGGCTAAATTAATTAGCTGTAGTCGAGTCAGCAGATTTTCATCCTTGTTCACGAACAACCATCTCGCCTGAACCAACCCTAGTTCATATTATCCTACAAACCCATAGCAAAAGCAAATATTCAATCAATGCCACCTGAATTACAGTTTGGCTGTTTGCTCAAACTACCTTAAAGTGAGGAACGGTTCTTGCAAGAAAATCTAGGTTTGGCTGGAAATCAGAGTCGAATATGGCAACGAATTCGTAATCTTTCACGTAACTACAATTCATGGCCGACTTAAGATTGCCGGCTTTATAACCCTCCCTAATCACTCTATGCCTGTATATAATACTCGCCCCATTCTGCTGCCATTTACAAACTTCCTCTCTAATCATCGATTGTGTGGTTGGATCATCAAAATCATCCAAAATTTGAATCATCAATTTGCCCTTAGGCCAGTCCAAATTACACACAGCGGCAATAGATTGTTGGTAAATCTATATCAAACGATACAAAAAGCATAACCACTCAAATCACACCACAAGCAAATAACTTTTACTTTCTGTTCTAATACAAACAAGAAAAGGAATATTTACCTCTTTCTCATTGCACATTGGAATCTGAACTAAGACCATAGGAAAATAGCCACCACCATCTCCGGACTCTGCATCTACAAGACCCTGTTTGGCAACGGGCTTGATATTCATAACTTTGATCCAGAAACAACCCAAACAGAGGATTAATCAATCCAAGCTCTGGATGAGCAAGAGCACGATACAGACATTGGCCAGCAGCTGAAGGGGAGGAGCAAGGTACAGAACCCTGATAACAACCCAGTTGGAATAGAGCCATCCAAACGCGGTCTTAACCGAAAACGGATCTGTTAGTGCCTAGAGGCGATGGAGCTGAAGATCGGGCGGCCCCAAATGCCAGCCCTTGAAATAGGCTGCGTGCTCAAACGCGAGCAGCACTAAGGACAGCCACAGGAAGCCCTTGATGCAGCCGTAGAATCTCGAATTGACGGCCGGAGTGTCGTCGGAGTCGATCCGACCGGAGGAGACGCGGCGGGCGACGGCGGAGGCGAGGGAGAGGAATGCGGCGGCGATGGAGGCGAGGCATCTGGCGGCTCGATTGGCCTTGAGGAGGAGGACCCAGGTGAGCTGCCTGGCGTTCCTGTTGCGGGCCTCTTTGGGCGGGCCGACGGCGTCGATTTGGCTGATGAAGTCTTCGCGGGAAGGGGATTTCAGCTCCACCATGGACCACTTGTTGGGGTTCTCTATTTTCACGACTACTGGGGTGCCCCTATGAATTTCCAGTTCAGTGGCTCGGTTTTTTAGCCTTTTTTCAAATCAAAAAATGAAAAGTAGCCATCTTTTTAAAAACAATGAAAAGTAGCCATTTAAGCATGTAAAATTATCATTTTACCCTTATATTTCAACCCTTCCCTAATCTCACCCTCACTCCAATCCTCATTTTATTTTTCATCTTCGGCATCGAGAAGCTTCAATTCAACCCTCCCAATTCCCTTCACCTTCATCCGTAGACCAGAATGCCACTTTTATTCGCCGACCAAGAAGCATCTGTCGTCAAGAAGAGCTTCGAACCATCTATTCGCGTAAGTTTCAATCATCGACTGAGATGCATCCGCCGCCGAGAGGAGGTTCAAACCCTCGGCGACTTTCACTATCATTCGCCGACTGAGAAGCATCCGCCGTCGAGAATAGCTCCAAACTATCGACGACTGGAAGATTCAAACTATTGGAGACCGTCAACCTAGAGAGATTTTGGCATATTTCCGGATTTTTGGTAATTTTTCTTCAAACTTTGTAATTTTTCATCAATTTTTCTTCAATTGATGCCTTTGTTTCTCAAATGGAATTGAGAATATTTTTTCTTTTCTATCTTGTCTGATGCATTTATGTTTAATTATGTGGTTTCGCAATGTGTTGGCTCTGCAATTTGTTGACTCTTTTTCCCCAGTAATTGGCACTGAAATGGCCGAGCAATCTTATGTTTGATTTTTAATTTCCTTACATGGGTTATATGTGAGGTGATTGATTTAAACTGTGTTGTTTTTTTTTTTCTATGTTTGTAAATTGTAGTATTTTGAGGTTATTGTATTGATGGATTTTGATGTTTTGGGGATCTGAGCATATTGTTTTCGACTGGATTTTTTTGGTTTAGGGTTGCATTACTTTGGATGATGGTTTGTGGCTGCTCGATTGTCAGTGTAGCCTATGTTGTTTAATTGATTTTATTTTAGAGTATTTGATCTTTGTCGTATTTGTACGTAGTTTCTGAGCTTTAGCTATCTGTGTTATGGTGAATGGTTGTAGGTTATGTTTTCTATTCAATTTGGCTTGGTGTTATCTATGTTTGGTTAATCAAAATTGTTGGTAGGGTTTGTGTTTTGAAATTGAAGTGACTATTGTAGTTAAGGAGAATGAGTAGCTACCACATGAGAATTGAGCTCAGGTTGACTATTGTTGTTACGTAAACTTAAATTTGTATGAATAATACTCGCATAATACTTTTCACGTACGTGATTTTACCAAAGAAATATTTGGAATTATATGAGCTCATTATATGTTGGAACTTTTCTCTTGGATATCATTTTGATATTATGTTCTCCTTGCACTTTGGAATTCTGATGCATAAGTGTCACACGAGTTGGTTCGTGGTAAGCCTGCATATCTCACTTCAATGTATTCCTCTGTATTATGTACATGTACTAGTTTTTATGGATTTCGCTTGTTATACTCAATCTCGACTTGTATGCTTTTCTTTCATCATAGAATAATTTTCTTATGGTTTCAGGTCTTCAATCATGAGCTAAAGGGATTAATGTTGTCTAGGACATGGAGCAAATTTGTCTTTGGTCAGATTTCCATCAACATAGGATTTTTAAATTCTAGGAACTCCCCGACTGGAAGTTTCTCATCCTTGGAGAGTTTTGTTTCCTTTGTCAATTGCATTTACTGAGTTAAATGAGCAGTATAGAAGGGTAGAGAAGATACACATCATTTTAAGATCATTTGGAGACCGGTTGTGAGGTATTTTCTAGCCTTTGTTTTCTGATTCATCGTTTATGTTTTGAGCATTTAGAATCATCATAGTATATCTTCTTTCTCCTCTATTAGCACTTTAGCCAATAGTGGTAGATGGTCTAAAAGTCACTGTCAGAGTCGCTGAAACAGAGCATCAAGAAATGCCGCTAGGCGAAAAACAAGAAAAGCGTCGAGTGGGTATGAAGGAGCTCGTGAGGTGAAATACGGGTGTGCCTTGTTTCGGTTACGAGCGGCTCGATTAGACTGGAGTACCCCTTGTTTTTTCTTCATTTTTTTTTTTGGCATATGTTCATTTTGTGCATAGTTTTTCTCTCTACATTGTAAAGGAAATGTATTTTTTAGCTTGAATGGATGATGGCTTTATTGATATGTATTTTGTGAATCTGAATTAAGATTACATATATTTTTCTGATCAAATATCCATATGTAGTATACAATTTTATGGACTAAATTTCTAGTGATTTCGGTAACTAATCAAAATTACTATCATACTCAATCAATGGAAGAAAAAAAAAATAGATAAAAACCTAAAAAAAAAAAATACTTTTTGACCCACAAAACGATTTCTAGGCCAACATACAATAATATAATATTGAACACAATCAAGTTCTCAAAATCGAAATTACCAACCAAATCACAGTACTCAATCAGAAAAGTATACTGTTGTAAATTGGGATCCTCAAACATTCATCAATCTACACCAAACAAAGTAAAGAGAAACAAGCGAGAGAACAAGAGACAGAAGAGCAGAAAAGTCCATCTTTTATTCATCGTATATCACCTTTTTATAGGGTTTACAAGTAAGAAACCCTAAAACCTAATTTCCCTAACTAATGGACTTCAGGCCCAATTGTCTATTAGTAATGTCCATATTCATATATTTATAGCACTCCTCCTTGGACATTACTACATGCCTCATTAAAAACCTTGCTAACAAAAACCCGACAGGGGAAAAAAAATTAGTCAAAGGAAAACGAGTACATGATTTATAATTCATGTGTTTTACTAGCTGCCTCATTAAAAACCTTTAACTAATAAACCCAATGGGAAAAACTTAGTTAAGGAAAAAAGAGTACAACACTTGGTCTTCAGGACCTAATCTTCGGGATTATTTTGAGTTTGTCCCTCCCCCTGAAGACAATAGTCTTCCAAGTTTACGCATACCAATACCATAAATGTATTTTTCAAAAGTAGATGTAGGAAGGGATTTGGTGAATAGATCTGCCAAATTCTCGCTAGACCGTACTTTTTGTACAATAATTTTACCGCTCTTCTGGAGCTCGTGTGGGTAAAAGAATTTTGGAGCAATGTATTTTGTCATGCTTCCTTTGACGTACCCACTACTCATTTGTAAAACACAAGCTGCATTATCCTCGTAAGGGACAGTGGGGGTTATATCATTTGTAATTCTACATGACCCACGAATATGTTGGATTAAAGATCTTAACCATACACATTCTCGTGAAGTCTCGTATAAAGCAATTATCTCTGTGTGGTTTGAAGATGTAGTAACCATGGACTGCTTAACTGACTTCCAAGATATTGCAGTACCACCACAGAGAAAAACATAACCAGTCTGTGATCTAGCATTATGGGGATCAGACATATAACCAGCATCTGAATAGCCCACCAATGTCATATCTTGATATTTATTATAAAGTAGACCAAGATCTTGTGACCCTTGAAGATACCTAAAAATATATTTAATACCATTCCAGTGTCTCCTCGCAAGTTTACTGCAAATGCAATATCAGGCCTGGTGCAATTTGCAAGATAAAGTAACGCGCCAATGGCGCTCAAGTAAGGAACTTCTGGTCCTAAATTTTCTTCGGTATCTTCTTTAGGTCTAAATGGATCCTTATCCGCTTCAAGGGATCGGACAACCATTGATGTGCTGAGTGGATGAGATTTATCCATGTAGAATTTTTCTAAAACCTTCTTCAAGTAGGTTGACTGGTGTACAAAAATTCCTTCAAGGAGATGCTCGATCTGCAGGCCGAGGCAATATTTGGTTTTACCCAAATCTTTCATTTCAAACTCCGTCTTTAGGCATAAGCTAGCTTTATCAAGCTCCTCTCGTGTGCCAATTATATTTATGTCATCAACATAGACTGAAATGATGCAAAAACCATTCGATGACTTCTTTATAAACACACAGGGGCACACGTCATTATTCACATAATTATTTTTCAACATAAACTCACTCAGCCGGTTGTACCACATTCTACCCGACTGCTTTAAGCCATATAATGACCTTTGTAATTTAATGCTATACATGTTGCGTGTTTCATTTTCCCTTATTTCGGGAACCTTTAATCCTTCAGGGATTTTCATATATATATTAGTGTCTAATGACCCATATAAATATGCGGTCACGACATCCATTAACTGCATATCTAAATTCATAGTTACTGCCAGGGATATCAAATAGGGGAACGTTATTCCATCCATTACAGGAGAATACGTTTGATCAAAATCAATACCGGGTCTCTGTGAAAACCCTTGAGCAACTAATCTCGCTTTGTATCTCACCACCTCATTATTTTCATTTCTCTTTCGTACGAACACCCATTTATATCCTACTGGGATAATATTTTGAGGTGTACGTGCAATAGAGCCAAAAACTTTTCGTTTATTTAGCGAGCCTAGTTCGGCCTCAATTGCCTCCATCCATCTTACCCAATCGGAGCGCTTCCGGCACTCTGTAATTGATTTAGGTTCTGGATCCAGATTATTAGAGATGGTAAAGGCAACTATAGAGGCAAATGTGTCGTCGACGACTATGTTACTTCTATTATAAGTATCTCCTGTATCAACAAAAATCGTAGCTACTTCAATATTTACATCAACCAGATCTTCATCATTTCCCAATATATTATGATCTGGATGTTCCGCAATCCTAGTAGTTTTATTATTTGTTGCACGTGCATTTAAACTAGGATTTTCGCCTTCTGGACGATTCTCTTCTGGAGATTTCAGGAGTGATTCAATATTTTTATTAAATTTTATTTTCCGCGGATTATTATCTTTTGTACCAACGGGCCTCCCACGCTTCTGGCGTAGAGAATCTTCAGGAATATTAGATTTCTTGGGGACTTCCACTCGTTGTGGAGCATTTATCGAAGGTACATGAGATTTGGTCACTCCTTTATGATCAGTAAATGCATCTGGCAGATTATTTGCTAAATATTGCAAATTAATTATCTTTTAAACTTCAAGTTCAGGTTGATTAGTGCGTGGATCTAAATATTGT